TGTGGCGGAGAAATCAATTTATGCATTTGGTAAAGTTTCTGGATCTGCACCAAACGAAAAAAACAACCTTATCATACGGTGACATAAGTCTTTAGTTAGAAAGCGTTCCCGCAGGGTGGCGTCTCCCGCACCCAGTGTCGCGCTGCCCCTCCGAGTGCTGCTGCCACAGTCCCGCAGGAGCGTCCGCCCGTCTCCCCGGCCTGGCTGAGGCTCCCGTGCACCGCGCGTGTCGGTCCCAGCGCACAGCCGGGGCTTCCTGACAGTCTCGACTACCGCCCCGTCAACATGTGCTTTAGTCACCCAGGAGGTCACAGGGTCAGTAGTGCCTCAGATGCTTCAAAAATCCTTCTCCACTCCCCTGATCAGTTCAATGTTCTTGCCAATTTTCTCACGGTTTTGCACAGCAGTCTTTAACCTTCTGGAACTTACTTTGGGGCACGGAGTGTAGGACCGGGGCCCACCCCCTTCACCCCGTGCCCAGGAGGCCCAGCTCTGCCCCGGGCTCTGCCTGGCTCCCACTGGATGGATCAGCTCCATTTCAGGACCAGCCATGGCTGCTGCTGAGAACCGGGTCCCGGCGGGAGGAGCAGGGAGAGCAGATGGGTCCCCTCTGGGGACAGTCGGTGGCACTGCAGGAACAGATAAACACCTGGCAGGTCGGTCCTTTGGGACTCCCAGTACCGTGTGGATTTGCAGTTTCTGGGGCTCTGCTTGTCATCTGCAGTGCCATGGCCTCGCCTCCCTCACCGTGGTCACCCCCACGTTCCTTTAGCCCAGTGTTGTCAGCACAGGCCCTGGCCCCTGGAGCTACCATGGGGAAGGCCAGCGTGGGGACGGGATCGCCGGGTCCAAGGCCGGCTCTGTCTTGCTGGGGCTAGAGAGGGAGGCACCGACGACCTCCCTCCAGCCCTGCCACAAGCCCAGGCTGCTTCAAATGGGTGCCCAGCTCTGTTGGCTGCAGCCCTGGCCACCTCCTGAGCAAGCACGTTGCCTTCTCCCACCTGACCCTGCAGTTTCCGGGCCTACGTCATCTTCCCTGAGGCCCAGGGTGGACCCAGGCACTGTAGGCAGGTGCTGGAGCTGCACAATGGTGTCATTGTGCCTCTCTGTCCCAAGATTGGACACCCCCAGGTACTCACTAAATAATCATAATAAGCACTGTCTAATAAACCCTGGGGGCTGTCCTGAAGGTGTTGGCATAATCCAATGCTTGACTGTGTGTGGGAGGCACTATTGGGCAGAAAGACTGCCCTCCTGCGTGGCTCAGGGAGGGGCCTGTGCTGTTTTAGGACCAGAGATCGGTGATCAGGCTGGAGACTTCCCATCAGTGGGAAGATTTTCTATTCTGTGTTCTGGTTGACTGGACCCCAGTCACATGGTATTTCACTTGTTATTTATGAATCACTGCCCTAAGCACTTTACAATGTTGGCACATGGAATTCACTCCTTGCAAAAGACAGTGAAACAACACGGGCAGACAACTGGGGGAACAGGGCTGCCAACCATAGATCCTGTGCTCAGTGTATTTGGTCATGTCCGGGTGCCTCCCATGGTCCATCCATTTTACCCACCCATAGCCGACCTCTATGGATTCTCCAGCTATGTTCTTTGTAGGTACTGGTTGGTTTGAACTGGTGGCAGACACCATCAATAGATGGTAGGGCAGGAGGTCAGGGTCAACAGAGGGTAGATGCCGTCAGGAGACAGTAGGGCAGGAGGTTGGGGTCAACTCTGGTAGGGGAGAGATATCCTGCCCCATTGCTCTGTGGCCTGAGGCACCTCTCTGAATGGCTGTGTTCCTTTCTGATGGTGGTCCCTGTTGGGTTGTCCCCACTCCACAGCACAAGCTCTCACCACCTCTAGTGACATTGCTCACTACCCTTGCCCTTGAATGTCAAGGTGGTCGCAGCTTTTCAGTGCTGCTAATTCCTAGGTGCCTCACTGCAGGGGAGAGTACCTGGGCTCTACTCAACATTTGGGTATAGAAGGTTTTGAAGGAACCACTAAACAAGCACCCAGCCACAGGGCATGCTGGCTGGGACTGAGGTTCATCTAGAAGGAGTGGGGGAGGAGGATTAAGATAAATATCAGTTAAGCGTTCATGAACAACTGGACAGTGTGGACTGTAGTTTGTACTACTAATCATCAATTTTAACTATTTTAGAGACTATGATCTGCCACCCCTTTGAATGGACTTGATTTGGAGCATGATCAGGGTAGTTCAAGGGGTGGACTGTGGTTGAAGCTATTGATGACCAACACTCTCAGCCCACCTGCAGCTGTCATAGTCAGTTTTGGCACAGTGACAGATTCACAGCTTCCCACCTCAAGTGCCTGCATCCACTCTTCTGTGTTTCCCTTTACACGCACTGGTGAAGCCCAGGTGAATCAACATACCCAGTCAACAGGGGTAGCTACAGATGGGATAAATGGCCTGTGCTCTTACTCCCCAGTGGAACAATCTAATATGGTTCCACCCTATTTCTCAGGGTGTCCTTAGGAGGATTGAGTCCCAGTTGCCCAAAATGGTAACCTTCTCATTACATACCTTTTATTGGATTTTCTACCTTCATAGTCTTACTTGATCTTGGACTTCCAGCCTCGAGAACTGTGAGAGAATATATTTCTGTGTTTTAAACCACCAAGTTTGTGGTACTTTATTACAGCAGCCCTGGGAAAATAATATAAGACCTAACATATTAATAGTTATATTAAATGTAAATGGTCTAAATATACAAATTAGAAGACAGTGATTGGTAAAGTAAATTAAAAATTATAGTACAACTATATGCTGTCTACAAGGAACTTACTTCAAATGTAACAGTAGAGGCAAGTTGAAAGTAAAAGTAAGGAAAAAGATATAATATGCAAACATTAATCAAAAGAAAACAGAAGTATTATTTTAATATCAGGTAAAGTAGACTTCAAAACAAAGAAAAACTAACAAAGACAGAGGAACATTATATAGTGATAAAGGGGCTATTCCACAAGAAGACAGCAATCTCAAATGTGTATGCACCAAACAACAGAGCTGCACAATATGTGAAGCAAAACTGAAAGAACTGAAAGGAGAAATAGACAAATCCACAATTATAGTTGGAGACTTCAACATCCCTCTCTCAACAATTAATAAAATAGCTAGACACAAAACCAGCAGGGACATCAAAGAACTCAACTTCCTCATTAACCAACATAATCTAATTGACATGTGTGGAACACCCCACTCAACAATAGCACTACACACATTTTTTAAAAGTACCTACAGAACATATATGAAGATAGGCCATATCCTGGATCATAAAACAAACCTCAACAAATGTAAAAGAAATGAAATCATATAGAGTATGTTCTCTGGCCACATGGAATCAAAGCAAAAATCAATAACAGAAAGATAATGGGAAATCTTTCTCTGGATTCTTGAAAACTAAACAACACATTCTAAATAATACATGGGTCAAAGAGGAAGTCTCAAGGTAAATTAAAAAATACACTGGACTGAATGAAAATGAAAATACAACATATCAAAATTTGTGGGACACAGCTAAATCAGTGCTAAGAGGGACATTTATAGCACTAAATGCATGCATTATAACAGAGGGACAATCTAAAACCAATTTATCTAAGCTCCCACTTCCAGAATCTAGAAAAAGAGGAGTAAACAAAATGCAAAGCTATAAGAAAAGAATAAAGAGCAGAAATCAACAAAATTAAAACAGAAAAATAATAAAATAAAGGGCTCATCCTTGAGAAAGACCAGTAAAATTGAGACACTTCTAAAAAGACTGGTAAAGAAAAAAAAAAAAAAAAAAAAAAGAAAAAGACACAAATTACCAACATCTGATTATCGTTACAGACCCTGCAGACATCAATGAATAATAAGAAAACACTATGAAGAGACCTACACACATAAATTTTACAGCATAGGTGAAATAAACCAATTTCTCAAAAAAACATAAGCCCACTATAAAATAGATAACTTTAATAGCCCTAAAACTATTAAGGAGGTTAAAATTTTAATTTAAAAAACTTCCAAAAAGAATTTTCCATGTCCACAGGATTTCACTGGAAAATTTTACCACACATTTAAAGAATAACACCAATTCTATATAATCTCTTCTGGAAAATAGAAGAGGAGGGGACACTTTCAACCAAAACCAGACAGCCAAAAAAAAAAAAAAAAAAAAAAAAAGAAAGAGAGAGAGAAAGCTTTGTGACACCATCCCTTGTGAATATACAAGTAGAAGCAAATATCCTTGAGGAAATATTAGCAAGTAACAATAGATACAAATA